CACTCCTATGAACTGGTCAGTGGCCAAATTCTCATTCCGTCTGCTCTCTTCTTTTTGTCATTTTTCTTGAACTGACTGCTCAGTTCAGGTATTTTCATTCTTAGTTCTACAATAAAAAAATTTAAGGTTGTTAATCTTCTTGTAAGTGGAGATTTGGTACATTCCCATAAGCTCTGTTATGTAGTGCTCTCCTTTTAGTAAATATCTGAATAGATTTTGCTTTCCTTGAATTTATTTTGTGATATGAATAATGCATAGTCGGTTTTCTTTTTGTTTGCAATTGCCTGCTGTCTTTTCCTAAAGGTTATGTTTAATGTTTCTGCTCATTCATATGTTGCATACACTTGACTTAAATACATACACTTGACTTCCACCTACAATGCACACCAATCCTCTTGATTTGCCGTTAGTTTAAATGCCAGTGGTTGCACACCCAGGGATTTTTGAACTTGTGGATTTTGAATGTCCTTGTTAATCTTCCTGTAAGAGATACTCCCTTACAGGTGATGTGTCTAATGGCAACTAAATCAGGCAGGGTTCTTTGGTTGCAAGCAACAGAAAGCAACCATGGTTAGCTTAAGAAAAAATGGGCCCAGTACAGTGGCTCATGCCCGTAATCCCAGCACTTTGGGAGGCTAAGGTGGGCAGATCACAGATCACCTGAGGTCCAGAGTTCAAGACCAGCCTGATCAATATGGAGAAACCCTATCTCTACTAAAAATATAAAAAATTAGCCAGGTGTCGTGGTGCATGCCTGTAATCCCAGCTACTCAGGAGGCTGAGGTAGGAGAATCGCTTGAAGCTGGGAGGCAGAGGTTGTGGTGAGCCAAGATCACTCCATTGCACTCCAGCCTGGGCAACAACAGTGAAACTCCATCACAAAAAAAAAAGAAAAAGAAAAAGAAAATAGAAAAATGATATGAGCTAGCTCACAGATGAAAGGGAGTGGCTGAAAAACTAAATCCCCTCTTACAGGGGAACATGTAAATTTATTAAACATAGTATGAAATGTCTTTCATTCCTTTCCCTTAGCCAGACACTGTTCCAACCACTAGGAAACCAGTGGAAAACATGATAAAAACAACCCCTGTTAGGAGACATATAGAGCTAGCACTGATCTGGACCCATGCCTATGGCCCACCAGCCTCTCTTCCTATCACATTTCAATGCATACCCTAAATACAACCGCCACATACTTCCCTGGTGCACCAGGCTCTTTAATGTTTCCATAACTTTGATCATGAAATTTTCTCTGTACTCATTATTCTTTCCTGCAAAGTCCTCTCTCACATCTTTGCTCGGTGACCTTCTACTTAGTCTTCAAAAATCAACCAAAATGTCACCACTATTAGGAGATCAACAACCTCCACCCCCAACTTTTTTTCTTTTCAGTTCAAAGCAATTTTAGTTGTAGTCAATGGTGTTGGCTGATTAAGATTAAAATGTCATTTTTATTTAATTTAATTAATTAATTTATTTGGGAAGGGAAAAAAAAAAAAAAACCAAGGCAGGAGGATTTCTTGAGGCCAGGCATTTGAGACCAGCCTCAGCAACAAAGTGAGACCCCATCTCTACAAAACTATTAAAACATAAAATAGCTGGGCATGGTGGCATGTGCCTGTAGTCCTAGCTACTTAGAAGGCTGAGGAGGCAGAATGGCAGGGGGCTAGGAGTTGAGGCTACAATGACATGTGATTCTGCAACTGCACTCCAGCCTGGGGTAACAGAGTGAGACCCTGTTTCTAAAAGAAATAGGAAATTTCCAGCCTGGGCAATATGGCAAAACCCTGTCTCTACAAAAATTAGCCAAGTGTAGTAATGCCTGCTTGTAGTCCCAGATACTTGGGGGGCTGAGATGGGAGCATCACTTGAGCCCAGGAGGTTGAGGCTGCTATGAGCATAGATTGCACCACTGAACTCCAGCCTAGGGTGAGAGAACAAGACCCTGTATCAAAATAAAATAAAATCAGTTTGAAAGACAGGGAGAATCAACAGTGGATGTTAACACTAGTGATAATTACATAGTCTTCATTCATCTTCCTAGTAAATTCTTGTTATCAGTCTTTTTTTTTTTGAGACAGGATCTTATTCTGTTGCCCAGGATGGAGTGCAATGAGGCAATCACAGCTCACAGCAAGCTCAACCTCCTAGACTTAGGCCTCCCAAGTAGCTGGGACCAACACCACCATGCTTAGATGATGTTTTTCCTTTTAGTAGAAACAAGGTTGTGCTATGTTGTCCAGGCACTCATTACTACTTTTGATATATATTTTTTTGAGGTAAGGTCTCACTCTGTAGCCCAGGCTGGAGTACAGTGCATGATCTTGGCTCACTGCCACCTCTGCCTCCTGGGTGCAAGCAATCCTCCCACCTTGGCCTCCCAAGTAGCTGGGATAACAGGTGCACATGACCACACCTGGCTAATTTTTAAATTTTCTGGAGAGATGGGGTTTTACTATGTTGCCAGGACTGTTCTCACACTCCTGAGCTCCAGTGATCTGCCCACCTAAGCCTCCCAAAGTGCTGGGATTATAGGCATGAGCCACCGCCTGGCATCATTACTATTTAAATGGTAAAACCTGGCTAGTGGAAAAACTTGGCTGACACTTTTTCTGCCCAGTGATAAAGGGCACCTGGCAAGGACCAGGTGTCCCACTGCAGTGCTCCTGCCAACAAAGCCCAAAAGCTGGGCCTAGTCACCAGCAAATATCAGACAGCTTAAGGGGTAGCCGCATGCAGGCCATCCAGAAAGCCTCCTGAATTCCAGTTCAATGCATTCTCCTCTACCTGGACCCTAACACTTAATAGAAAATAATTTCTAGGAGGCTGGGCTGGATTTGGCATGATAAGAACATGAGACAATTCTACAGTGCTACTGAAGATTTAGACTACATATGAAGATTATGTAAACAGGCATGAGGATATCTTAAAATTTATTGTTAATCAGCAAGTATGACTAAGCTGCACTATAAATGCCTTTCTATGTAGAGAACTTTATTAAAGTTCAATGATTGATTTTTTAAATATAGAGACGGGCAGGCACAGTGGCTCACACCTGTAATCCCAGCACTTTGGGAAGCCAAGGTGGGCAGATCACCTGAGGTCAGGAGTTCAAGACCAGCCTGGCCAACATGGTGAAACCCGGTCTCTACTAAAATTATAAAAATTACCTGGCATGGTGGCACATGCCCATAGTCCCAGCTACTCAGGAGGCTAAGGCAAAACAATCACTTGAACCCAAGAGGCAGAGATTGTAGTGAACCAAGATTGCACCACTGTACTCCAGTCTGGGTGACAGAGTAAAACTCTGTCTCAAAAGAAAAAAAAATGTATATATATATACACATACATACATATATATATATATATATATATATATATAGAGAGAGAGAGAGAGAGAGAGAGAGAGAGAGAGAGAGAGAGACAGACTAGAAATTAAGCTGTCAGCACAAATAGTCCTACAAATATCAAAATCCCAGAAAATATCTTAACCTTTATATGGGATATCCATGTGTTCCACGAGTCCTAAGCAGTAACTATTCAAGCAGATTTGACCTTTGTCAGTAATGACGCCACCATTAGCTGAGGAGAAGTCATAGCTCTTACTCTCAATTGAGCCTCAGGAATTTTGTTTTTTTTTCTTGGAGACAGGGTCTTACCCTGTCACCTAGGCTGGAGTGCGGTGGTATAATCTCAGCTCACTGCAACATTTGCCTCCCAGGCTTAGAAAAGTTTAAGAAAAAAGAAAAAGAAAAAGAGGAAAGAAGAAAACAAAGAAAGAGAAAATAGTTAAAACAACTTGGGCAGCATCACATATCTGGGTGGTACTTATACTACCAGTTCAATGCATTCTCCTCTACCTGGACCCTAACACTTAATGGAAAATGATTTCCAGTAGGTTAAGCTGGATTTGACAGGATAAGAACATAAGACAATGGGAAGGTAACCCAAATCTAACCCCTAGTCCTATCTACCAAATCATATCAAATTATTAGGACTCTATTATGATCCCTCAAGTAAACAATTTGCTTTGAAGAAAACAACTGATTTCTCTTCCAAGTTGTAGAAGGTCAGAAATTGACCATTTATGCCTCAGTGATGTCAAATATTTAATCTATAAATTGAGGTATGATGGTATGATACTCATCCATGGCATTAAATTCAAAGCAGATTGGGTGCCATGGCTTAAGCCTATAATATCAGCACTTTGTGAGCTGAGACAGGTGGATCACCTGAGGTCAGGAGTTTGAGACCAGCCTGGTCAACATGGTGAAACTCTGTCTCTACTAAAAATACAAAATTTAGCCAGGCATGGTGGCAGGAAAATCACTTGAACCTGGGAGTTAGAGGTTGAAGTGAGCTAAGATCCCACCATGGCACTCTAACCTGGGTGACAGAGTGAGACTCCATCTCAAAAAACAAACAAAAAATTGAAAGCAAAGAGGTTGCACAGGAAAATGTGAACTATATGACCTCATCAAATACCACAAGAGGGGCCAGGCATGGTGACTCACACCTGTAATCCCAGCACTTTGGGAGGTGAGGTGGGTGGATCACTTGAGATCAGGAGTTCCAGACCAGCCTGGCCAACATAGTGAAACCCCATCTCTAATAAAAATATAAAATTAGCCAGGTGTGGTGGTGCATGTCTATAATACCAGCTACTTGGTCTTTTGTTCTATCCAGCTGGACTAACCAGTCCAAACTATGGCACTATTTAATACAAAAGCAACCACAACAAGGACACCAGAAATGTCCTTGCTTCATAAGTATATTATGTATTACTATATTTATTGCAATGTATTCATTTCATTTATAAGTATACATATGTCACTCTCCAAATACACTGAACTCTTTGATTAACAAGATTATTTCTTACTTCATCATTACACCCCCAATGCACAGTGCCTGACTCACTATAGATCACCTAGATAAATGTCTGTTGATTATATAATGAATTAATGAATGAATAATTACCTCTGATCCAAGATATGATTTACCTTGTATTAATTCAGGTGCTGCATAAGCCAGACTCCCACAGCGTGTCTGTATATGATAATCCTTGTTACCCTGCCAATAAGATAAAAATGAAACACTTATTAATTATAGCCCTTAAGAGAATAAAACCTTGATAAACATTCTTTTTTTTTTATTGTTCTGTTTTGAGACAAAGTCTCACTCTATCATCCAGGCTGGAGTGCAGCGGCATGATGTCAGCTCACTGCAACCTGCGCCTCTTGGATTCAAGCAATTCTCCTGCCTAAGCCTCCTGAGTAGCTATGATTACAGGCACCCAGTGCGCCACCATACCCAACTAATTTTTGTGTTTTTGGTAGAGATGGAGTTTCACCACATTGTCCAGGCTAGTCTCAAACTCCTAACCTCAGGTGATCTGCCCACCTCAGCCTCCCAAACTGCTGGGATTATAGGCATGAGCCAGTGTGCCTGGCTGATAGATATTCTTTGAGCACAAGCAAAGAGAAGCTAGATGAAGAACTACCCCACATAATAAAGGATTTCTACAACCAACACAATACTCTGTGTGTACATGTATGTATGCACGTGTGGTCTCTGCTTCTCTAGATTCCCAACACCACTACAACCTGGCATGAACAAATCCTTTTCCCCTTAGCTCAGTCAAATCAGGTTCATACTTCCCTAAATACCCATATACATAATAGTCAGCCTAGCATATATCCAAGCACCGTGTCTTTCCAACCCCAAGTATTTCAGGGGGAAAAAGAATTTATTTACTGGAACTTATCTCCAGTATCAAATCTTTACAAATACAGAAGAGCTTCTATTTTCTTAGAGGAGAAAAAGCAATATGTTACATAAAATAGTACCTCGAATGTCTGTTTTCTAGATGCAGTTTTCTAGATGCACTCCCTTAGCTTCCAGATCTGTTAAAATGAGAAATCTGCTCATCGTCCTCTGCCCTCCCACAGAAATACCAAGACATAATGAAAACAAAGCTACAGTCCAACAGCTGTATAGAGTTCTTACAGCCGGCAAAGGATTTGTGAAATTGTGAGATGTCATTTACAACTGAAACAACATGCCCAGGAATGTGCTCCTCAGAAGAAGGTTGAGGCCTCGTCCAGGCAACCCCACTTTCTTAGATGGTGTCTGTGTGGGTAATCCGTGGCAGCCATAAATGAAGGCTCATAGGTTCTGTCACAAACCTTCTCCACTCCCTCCCATGAAGAATGACTTATTACTTAAACCAGTTTATCTGTTCAAAGTATGTTTTCTCTTTACATGTCTGCCAATAAAAAATAAAAATAAAAACTCTGCCTTCCTGCCTTCTAGCATTTGGTTCCCAGGAAAAAGTCTCCACTGAGAGTCTCTGAAGAGCCAAGGGAGGGAGAGAAGAATCAGAAAAAAATCAGACATTCTGCCAAAGGGGCAAAATCTGCTTCCCTTTGCACCTAGCTAATTCTGATCGGGGCAGGAAACAGTCATGGGACTACAAAAGCCTGAGACAAGTCTGCAAATTCAACATTCTTAATGAGTGTAGACAGCTCACTTTAGAGACTGTGAGTACCATGATTACAGAACTCCAGAGGAAGCCTCCAACAGGCAGCCACACAGGAGATCTGCTGCAGATAGCAGAGCTAGAAAATTCAAAGTCACCTCAAAAAGAAGTTATGCTGGAGAACACCAATACCTAACCATGGAATGCAAACTAAGGAAATACATAATAGTTATAAATTTAGAAGTGCATATGGGCCTTTTCCTTCTTTTAAAAGGAAAGGGGACTGTTTCTCAAAATGTAACTGTTAGTTATAGAACCATTTGGATAATAGATTTGCACTAAATTCTCAACTTTTATCTAAACAAAGGCATCATCTAGTGGCAATATCCTCAAACTGCAAGCACATGGTCAAGTCAGCATTCCTGCTGTAATAGCCTCAGGTCACTTCTGTACTGCAAATTCTCACTGTATACCTAGTCTTCAGCAGAACCAACCCTGGAAGTAGGGCAGTGACTCTCAATCTTGATTGCATGTTATGATCATCTAGAGAACTTACAAAAACTACTGATATCAGAAATGAAATTTAACATTCTTCTCAATGGATGCAACCAAGCTCAATAAAGACTAAGTAGAAGTTAGGACAAAATCACACCCTAAGAAATAAATACATTTACAAAGAACATAGATGCATCTTATTTCTGCACTTACCTTGGGCTTTGCACAGAGACCAAAGTCAATCAGCTTCAATTTATGATATTCATCAAAGAGCAAATTTTCCTGGGAAAACAAAGATATTGTGATAACCATATACTGACTTCCTTACATCATACCCCACTTCTAGCTATTTCTAAAAATGATTTAAGGCTAGGTGTGGCAACTTATGCCAGTAATCCCAGCACTTTGGGAGGCAGAAAGGATGAGGCAAAATGAGAGGATCATTTGAACCTGGCGTTCAAGACCAGCCTAGGCAACACAGCAAGACCTGGTCTAATTTTTTTTAAATAAATAATTAATTAAAATGAGTAAAAATGATTTGAAGTTGTTTCTATTAAAAAGTATGGGTACAACAAACCAAAAATGACTAAAAATTAACGAAATGACAAGATGTATAGAAGGGAAAAGAGGAGGAATGTTGATTATCACTTTCCCACAAGATTCATTAGCATAAACCATTTTCTCCTTGGTGTTCTGAAGGTCAACTACAAGCAAACACAATTTGTGCCAAAAAGCAAATATAAACCAAAAGAGTGAGTTCAAATTGACAAGTTCGGTATAAACAGATGGAAAAAGATAGTTTCCAGCCAGGTGTGGTGACTCACACCTGTGATCCCAGCACTTTGAGAGGCTGAGGCAGGCAGATCACTTGAAGTCAGGAGTTTAAGACCAGCCTGGCCAATGTGGTGAAACCCCATGCCTACTAAAAATACAAAAATTGGGGGCTGCGGTGGCTCCGGCCAGTCATCCTGGCACTTGAGGAGGCAAGGCTATGAGTTCAAGGCCAACCTGAACAACATTACAAGCTCTCATTGATGCACAACAACAACAACAAAAGTACAAAATTAGCCAAGCATGGTAGCAAGCACCTGTAATTCCAGCTACTCGGGAGGCTAAGGCAGGAGAATCACCTGAACCCAGGAAGCAGAGGTTGCAGTGAGCCAAGATCACACCACTTCACTTCAGCCAGAGTAACAGAGCAAGACTCAGTCTCCAAAAATAAAATAAATAAAATGAAATAAAATAAAAATACAAAAAATTAGCTGGGCATGGTGGCATACACCTGTAGTCCTGGCTACTTGGGGGGCTGAGTTGGGAGGAACACTTGAGCCCAAGAGGTTGAGACTACAGTGAGCCCTGATCATGCCATTGCAGTCCAGCCTGGGTGACAGAGTGAGACTCTGTTTCAAAAAAAAAAAAAAACAAAAAAAGACACTTATAAAGTCACACACAATTCACAGATATACAAAATGCTCATAAATGCATCCAAAAAGCCTACCAAGGCCAGGAGTAGTGGCTCACATCTGTAATCCCAGCACTTTGGGAAGCCAGGGCAAAAGGACATCTTGAGCTCATGAGTTCAAGACCAGGCTGGGCAACAGGGTAAAACCCCATCTCTGCAAATAATTAAAAAACTGGCTAGGCATGGTAGAGACCAGCCTAGCCAACACGGTGAAACCCCATCTCTACTAAAACTACAAAAATTAGCTGGGTATGGTGATCCATGCCTGTAATCCCAGCTACTAGCCAGGCTGAGGCAGGAGTATCATGTGAACCTGGGAGGTGGAGGTTGCAGTGAGCTGAGATTGTGCCACTGCACTCCAGCCTAGGCAACAGAGTAAGACTCTGTCTCTAAAAAAAAAATTAGACATAGTGGTGTGCACCTATCCTCCCAGCTACTTAAGAGATTGAGGTGGTTGGATCACTTGAGCCCTGGAGGTCAAAGCTGCAGTAAGACAAAAGTACACTACTGTACTCCTGTCTGGACAACAGGAAAAAAAAAAAACCTTCCAAAAATCAAAAGAAAGAGGAAAAAAGGCCAAGTGTAGTGACTCATGTCTGTAATCCCAACACTCTGGAAGGCCAAGGCAGTTGGATCACCTGAGGTCAGGAGTTCGAGACCAGCCTGGCCAACATGGTGAAACCCCATCTCTACTAAAAATAGTAAAAGTAAGAAATGTCATAGATTATGATGGGAACAACAACAACAAAAAGAAGCAAACCTAAGACAGATACCTAAACAGATCATTTGGAAACCTAAAAATAACAGGTAAATGATATTGAACTCTCAGGTAAGTATCTAACTGTGATGCAGTCACTTACTGGTTTGAGGTCCCTTTGAGCATAGCCCTGGCTGTGCACATAAGTGATGGCAGATACTATCTGATGGAAGACAACCCTGGTCTCCTCTTCTGTCAGGTGATCCTGGGAAATTATGTAGTCAAACAGCTCTCTTCCAGGGCAGTACTTCAACAGCAACAGAATCACAGATATTGTTACAACTTACAAAAATCACTTCATGAAAATTTAAAATTAAAAAGTACACTTAAGTCAGAGATATTATTAATTTGACTTTATAAGCAAGGGAACTAAATAAGGCATATTCAAAAATACACTCTCAGGATCAAACAAGTCAATAAGGACTCCAGGAATTAGAACAATAACTCTTTCATTGAACAGTTTTATTATAGTAAGTAGAAGTAAAACCAACTACCACTGTGATTTTAAAAAGCTCACCCAGGGTTTTATATTTTTACAGCTAAGTATTAAAACCCATTCTCATCTTAATGCCCTCTCATTTAGTGTAATTACCTGAAATTTTAAAACCCAGCAATAATTATTGTTTCTCCATTCCAAAGACCAGTGGTTTTCAATCTGTACCAGGAGCCCAGGTCTAGAGGGATATCTCAGAGGCTGAAGAACAGGCACAGGAGCACAAAGTTCAAGGCTTCCCATCCCTTTTCCAGGGCAACCCCACTTTTCTGTAAGCTGGGTTTTCATTTTAGCAATATCAATTAAAATTACAAATGCATATAGATTTGACCTCACAGTTGCACATTTAGTTATTGCTCTTACAGATGTACTCACTCATATCAAAAAGCAGTACCTTGGCCAGGCACAGTGGCTCACACCTGTAATCCCAGACCTTTGGGAGGCCAAGACAGGTGGATCACTTGAGGTCAGGAGTTCAAGACTAGCCTGGCCAACATGGTAAAACCCTGTCTCTACTAAAAATATAAAAAATCAGCCAGTGTGGTGGTGGGCACCTGTAATCCCAGCTACTCAGGAGGCTGAGGCAGGAGAATCACTTGAACCCAGGAGGCAGAGGTTGCAGTGAGCTGAGATTGTGCCATTGCAGTCCAGCCTGGGAGACAGAGTGAGAGTCCATATAAAGAGGGGAATAAAAATTCAACTTTTGGCCAGGCACAGTGGCTTATACCTGTAATCCCAGCACTTTGGGAGGCTGAAGCAGGCAGATCACTTAAGGTCAGGACTTCGAGATGAGCCTGGCCAACATGGTGAAACCCTGGCCCTACTAAACATACGAAAATTAGCTGGGCATGGTGATGCACACCTGTAATCCCAGCACTCAGGAGGCTGAGGCAGAAGAATCACTTGAACCCAGAAGGCAGAAATTGCAGTGAGCCCAGACTGTGCTACTGTATTCCAGCCTGAGTGACAGAGCAAGACTGTCTCAAAACAAAAATTCAACTTTTATTTTACTGTTATTGTTTTTGAAACAGGGTCTCTCTCTGTCACTCAAGCTGGAGGGCAGTGGTGTGATCATGGCTCACTGCAGCCTTGACCTCCTGGGCTCAAGTAATCTTGACCTTAGCCTCCCGAGTATCTGGAACTACAGGTGCATGCCACCATGCCTGGCTAATTCTTGTATCTTTTGTAGAGACAGGGTGTCACCACTTGCTCAGGCTGGTCTTGAACTCCTGAGCTCAAGTGATTCACCCACCTTGGCCTCCCAAAGTGCTAGGATTACACGTGAGCCACTGTACCAGTTCTCAACTTTTGTGTTAGATACAGGGGTCCACGTGAAGTTTTGTTACAAGTGTATTTTGTACCGAGGTAGTGAGCATATCACATAATTTGTAGTTTTTCAACCCATACCCCTCTTCCTTCCCTCACATCTAGTAGTCCACAGTGTTTATTGCTTCCTCTTTTAAAAAATTGAAAAATTAGGCCAGGCGTGGTGGCTCAGGTCTGTAATCAAGACACTTTGGGAGTCTGAGGCAGGCAGGTCATCTGAGGTCAGGAGTTCAAGACAAGCTTGGCCAACAAGGTGACACCCCATCTCTACTAAAAACACAAAATTTTTTCATATGATTGTTGGCCTCATATATGTCTTCTTTCGTAAAGTATCTGTTCATATCCTTTGCCCACTTTTGAATGGGCTTGTTTGTTTTTTTCCTGTAAATCTGTTTGAGTTCTTTGTAAATTCTGGATATCAGCCCTTTGTCAGATGGGTAAACTGCAAAAATTTTTTCCCATTTTGTTGGTTGCCGATCCACTCTAGTGACTGTTTCTTTTGCCGTGCAGAAGCTGTGGAAGACAGTGTGGCGATTCCTCAAGGCCTTAGAAATAGAAATTCCATTTGACCCAGCAATCCCATTACTGGGTATATATCCAAAAGACTATAAATCGTTCTACTATAAGGACACATGTACACGAATGTTCATTGCAGCACTGTTTACAATAGCAAGGACCTGGAATCAACCCAAATGCCCATTGATAATAGACTGGATTGGAAAAATGTGGCACATATACACCATGGAATATTATGCAGCAATCAGAAATGATGAGTTTGTGTCGTTTGTAGGGACATGGATGAATCTGGAGAACATCATCCTCAGCAAACTGACACAAGAACAGAAAATGAAACACCACATATTCTCACTCATAGGTGGGTGATGAAAAATGAGAACACATGGACACAGAAAGGGGAGTACTAAACACTGGGGTCTATTGGGGGGAAAAGGGGAGGGCCAGTGGGAGGGGGAGGTGGGGAGGGATAGCCTGGGGAGAAAAGCCAAATGTGGGTGAAGGGGAGAAGAAAAGAAAGCACACTGCCATGTGTGTACCTACGCAACTGTCTTGCATGCTCTGCTCATGTACCCCAAAACCTATAATCCAATAAAAAATTTAAAAAAAAAAAAAAAACACAAAATTTATCCAGGCATGGTGGCACATGCCTGTAATGCCAGGTACTCAGGAGGCTGAGGCAGGAGAGTTGCTTGAACTCAGGAGATGGAGGTTGCAGTGAGCCCAGATCACACCACTGTACTCCAGCTTGGGTGACAGAGTGGGACTGTAGTCTCAAAACATAAAGATAAATAAACAAAAAATTGAAAAAATAAAAAGTTTAACAATTAAAAAAAAAGAAGGGCACACAGGATGGCTTAACTTGTTGCAGCCACCTTGGAAACTATAATCTGCCACAGAGGGCAAGTAAAAAGAAAGTTGGAGTCTAAGATTTCACAAATCTAGCCGTCTGAGAGATGTCCCAAGAGCCATTCCTGTGTTGGCTTAAGGGGAGTGGAAGCAAAGGTCATCAGAGCTGAGGAAGACGTGGGATAGTGAGTCACGCAAATTGCATGCTCATTCATGTGGATGCTGACATCCTCAGGAAAGCAGAAGGACTTCAGAGAACAGAGGACAAAACACAATCTTATTTTTACTTAAGAGACAGGATCTGTCTTTGTCACCCAGTCTGGAGTGCAGTGGCACAATCATAGCTCACTGTAGTTCTGAACTCCTGGTCTCAGGCAATTCTGCTGTCTCTGCCTCCTGAATAGCTAGGGCTACAGTGTGTGCCACTATGCCTGGCTAATTTTGTATTTTTATTTTTTGTAGAGACGGAGTCTTGCTATGTTGCCCATGCTGGTTTGCAACTCCTGGCCTCAACTGATCCTCCCTCGTTGGCCTCCCAAAGCATTGGGATTACAGGCATGAGCCACTGTGTTCCACCAGAAAACACTTTTTTTGACTTGGAGTTTTGCTCTTGTTGCCTTGGCTGGAGTGCAATGGTGTAATCTCGGCTCAGGACAAACTCCACCTCCCGAGTTCAAGTGATTCTTTTGCCTCAGCCTCCCCTGATTGCTTGAGGCTGCAGTGAGCTATGATCTTGCCACTGCACTCCAGCCTAGGTGAGAAAGTAAGACCATGCCTCAAAAAAAATTTGACCTCCCATCATGTTGAGGTACTAGCCTCTTCTACCCACTTACAGTAGTACATATAGAAACACTGTCCCACTTTACTCCAGCCTGTGTGTCAGAGTGAGACTCTGTCTCAAAATAGAATTTTTTTTGGCAAGGGGTGGTAGCTAATACCTGTAATCCCAGCACTTTGGGAGGCCAAGGCTGGTGGATCATGAGGTCAAGAGATCAAGACCATCCTGTCCAACATGGTGAAATCTCATCTCTACTAAAAATACAAAAATTAGCTGGGGCTGGTAGCATGTACCTATAGTCCCAGCTACTCCAGAGGCTGAGGCAGGAGAATGGCTTGAACCCAAAAGTCAGAGGTTCCAGTGAGCCGAGAGCATGCCACTGCACTCCAGCTCAAAAAAAAAAAAATTTTTTTTTTGACACAGAGTCTTGCTCTGCTGCCAGGCTGGAGCACGGTGGCGCAATATCAGCTCCCTGCAACCTCTGCCTCCTGGGTTCAAGCAATTCTTCTGCCTCAACCTCCCAAGTAGCTGGGACTACAGATGCGTGCCAAATGCCTGGCTAATTTTTGTATTTTTAGTAGAGATGGGGTTTCACCATGTTGGCCAGGATGGTCTCGATCTATTGACATCGTAATCCACCTGCCTTGGCCTCCCAAAGTTCTAGGATTACAGGTGGGAGCCACTGTGCCCAGACAAATCTTTTTTTAAATTAAAAAGTTCTAGTATCTAAAATGAGCAAAATTGCCAGGCGCAGTGGATCACACCTGTAATCCCAGCACTTTGGGATGCCGAAGCAGGTGGATCATCTGATGTCAGGAGTTTGAGACCAGCCTGCTGTGAGCCAAGATTGCACCACTGCACTTCAGCATAGAAAACACTGAGACTCCATATCAAAAAAAAAAAAAAAAGTAAAAATGTGTTTGAAAAGAACAGCAATAGCCAGGCACAGTGGCTCACACCTGTAATCCTAGCACTTTGGGAGGCTGAGGGTGGATGACAGCTGAGACTAGAAGTTTGAGACCAGCCTAGCAACATGGCGAAATTCTGTTTCTATACAAAATACAAAAATTAGCCAAGCTTGGTAGCATGCACATGTAATCCCAGCTACTTGGGGGGTCGAAGGGCAAGAATTGCTTGCGCCTGCCCAGAAGTTGAGGCTGCAGTGAGCCACAATTGTGCCACCTCACTCCAGCCTGTGCAACAGAGCAAAACCCTGTCTCCAAAAGGAAACAAACAAAGAACAGATCATTTTCTTATTATTGTTCACTGCAACCTCATCCTCCCAGGTTCAAGCAATTCTTCTGCCTCAGCCTCCCAAGTAGCTGAGATTACAGGCACCTACCACTACACTCGGCTAATTTTTAGTAGAGACGGGGTTTCACCATGCTGGCCAGGCTGGTCTTGAACTCCTGACCTTGTGATCCACGCACCTTAGGCTATCAAAGTGCCAGGATTACGGGTATGAGCAACAGTACCTGGCCAATCCCTTATATTTTTATAAAGATGTTTCCTTTGTTTCCTTTTTTTGTTGTTTATTTCTCTTTATTTCAATCAGAGAGAGTCCGGGTTCCCTTATCATCCTCCCTCCTCAGTCTCTGCCCCCAGGGGTTAAATAATTTAAAAAAATATTTTAAAAGCTGTAACAAAGTAACATCAAAGGAAATGGGAAGAAGGATGGGGGCGGGTCAGGAATCATGAAGGAGGGTAGAGAAGAGAGCCTATTCCCTACCCCCCACTCTTGGATTCCAGCCTGGGCAGCAGCTACAAAGTTGCAAAGGCTTTATGGCTATTGCAACAGCAATCAAAGGTCAAGCTTGGGGGTGCAGCCTAATGGGAAGCAGCCTCAGAGGGTGCTGATCCTGCCCAGGATGAGCAGCGGTGAAGGACACTCCTGGGGTCCCTGGCTAGGAAAGGTATTAGGGGTCGCACGTACCCAGGCTGAGGCAAGGAGAATACGTGGCCGGGGTAGCAGCGGCACGGGTAGACCTTCACTGGCCATTGAGATGCTTCTTCTGCGCGACCTTGTGCTTGTACCCACCAGGCGCCGGGAGGTTGGTGTGCAGCACCTGCTCGTTGCGTCGGGTCCTTGCAGACTGGGAAATCTTTTTTTTTTTTGAGACGGAGTTTCGCTCTTGTTACCCAGGCTGGAGTGCAATGGTGCGATCTCGGCTCACCGCAACCGCCGCCTCCTGGGTTCAGGCAATTCTCCTGCCTCAGCCTCCCGAGTAGCTGGGATTACAGGCAGGCGCCACCATGCCCAGCTAATTTTTTGTATTTTTAGTAGAGACGGGGTTTCACCATGTTGACCAGGATGGTCTCGATCTCTTGAGCTCGTGATCCACCCGCCTCGGCCTCCCAAAGTGCTGGGATTACAGGCTTGAGCCACCGCGCCCGGCCAGACTGGGAAATCTTAAAACTCCTCTTTGGAGCTTATAGGTGACTGCAGCCAGGCGGGAGCCCGTCGACGCGGAAGTACCGGCTCTGCAGCGGCTTCCATCACCAGCCTGCGCATGCGCGCTCCTGGAAGACCCAGCAGCACCGCCTCTACTTCCGATTGGCTCCGCGTGCTGGCCTCTGGAAACGTCACGGTGGCGGTGTGTCACCAGCGCACAGGGACAGGCCTCCGGCGACGTCACAAAGGCGGACCTTCGGCGACTTCACGCGGAGGTGTGTTGCCAAGGAGCTGGGTTGTCTTCACAGGGCAGAGCCTGGTAAACGCCACCGCCTGCTGTGTTCTGCTGGCTGGAGAAGGGTAGGTAACAAACTGCGACCCAGCACAGTGTTTATGTGGGTCAAAAATAGGAAAAGTGTGTCCTGACCCTGGGGAGGTGGGAAGTTTTCTTCAGGCCAGGAGTTCAGGAGCAGCCTGGCAAAGTGGTGTGACCCCCGTTTCTGTAGTCCCACCTCAGCCTCCCAGCTACTTGAACCCCAAGGTTCAAGGCTACAATGAGCTATGATTCTACCACAGCACTCCAGCCTGCGAGATTGAGGTAAACCCTGTCTAAAAATATAAAAAACTATCCAAGCGTGTGACATTGGGGCTGCTTAAAGAAAAATTGAGGCTACCTGGCCCCTGTAATCCCATAACTTTGGGAGGCTGAGGTGGGAGGATGGCTTGGAATCAGGAGTGTGAGACCAGCCTCAACAACATGACAAAACCCCATCTCTACAAAAGATACAAGAATTAGCCAGGCATAGTGCATGCCTGACCTAATATTTTGTATTTTTTTGTAGAGATGTGGGGGGAGTCTTGCCTCCGTGTTGCCCAGGCTGCTCTCGAATTCCTGAGTGCAAGCCATTTTCTCACCTTGGCCTTCAGAGTTGTTCAGATTAATGGTGTGAGCCACAGCGCCCCACTTGGGTTAGGCTATTTAATAACAAAGTCCGTGGCTCGGCTCAGTGGCTCACACCTGTAATTCCAGCACTTTGGGAGGCCAAGGCAGGTGGATCACCTGAGGTCAGGAGTTCAAGATCAGTGTCGCCAACATGATGAAACCCGGTTTCTACAAAAATTAGTGGCATGTGGTGGCACATGCCTGTAGTCCCAGCTACTCGGGAGGCTGAGACAGGAGAATTGCTTGAACCCAGGAGGCAGAGGTTGTAGTTAGTCAAGATCACATCCCTGCACCCTAGCCTGGATGCAGAGTGAGACTCCAGAGTTTGAGACCAGCCTGGGCAATTTAGGGAAACCCTGACTCTACAAAACAAACAAATAAAAAAGACATGTGTAACTGTGTCCACCTGTGGCCCCAGCCACTTAGGATGCTGAGGCAGGAGGATCACTTGAGGCCAGGAGCAGGTCTGCAGTGAGCTACGATCATCCCACTGCTCTCCATCCTGAGCATAAGACCATGTCTCTAGATAGCTAGCTAGATAATTGATACATAGTTTTCTATCAGAATTTGTTTTCCTACATTTGAGCATATTTTTCTAAAGTAGCATTCAACACATCAGCATTTTACAGTATTATTAGTAGTTAATATGATTATGTTTTTCTGAAATACAGTATCCTTTACAAAAGCAGTTTTGTCTGTCAGAGCACAGAGATAGGTCCTCAAGTGAATTTGCCTGATGTTGGTGAAGAATTGTTTTGATTCAGCAGGTTGGAAAAACTGTTTTTATAGAATCTAAGGAGAAATATTTCAAAGCCCAGTGAGGTCTATGGTGAAAAACCAAATATCCCATGATAAAAACTGGAAACAAGCTATCTGTGAAAATAAATTGCGATATGTGGATTCAGCCCAAATTTTTGAAGCTCTGTTTTGGTTCAGCGGGTTGGAAACCCTGTTTTTGTAGAATCTATAAAGGGACAAGCATTCTATAAAAATGCTTTGCAATTCGTCGAGTCAGCCTATGGCTTTGAACTTATATTTGCATTCAGTAGGTTGAACACCCTCGTTTTGTAGAATCTAAGGTAATACATTTTGCATTTGGAAGCTTATTGAGGCTTCTGGTGAGACTGAATATTTTGTGATTAAAAACTAGAAAATATATATCTGTAAAAATGCTTTTGGATGTGTGGATTCAGCTCACATAGTTTAACATTTCTTTTCATTCAGAATGTTGGAAACACTCTCCTTGTATAATTCAGGAATAAACATTTCAGAGCCGATTGAATCAAATGGTTAAAAACCAAATATCCCACAATGAAAACTAAAAAAAGTACTCTGAAAATGCTTTGTAATGTGGGGGAATCAGTTCGTACAGTCAGACTTTGTTTTGATTCTGGAGCTTGCAAACACTCTTCTTGTGGCATGTAAGTAGTGACATAGAGGCCTATGGTGAAAAACCGAGTATTCCACATTAGAAACAAGAGAGACGGTGTCTGTGAGAATGCTTTGCAATGTGTGCATTAAGCTGACAGGGTCGATCCATTGTATTTATTCAGCTGGTCGGAAACACTCTATTTGTAGAATCTGGCAGCAACATTTCAAATCCCATTCAGACGTATGATGAAAAACCGAATACACCAAGATGAAAACTAAAAAGAAGCTATCTGTGAAAAATACTTTGTGATGTGTAGATTCAGTTCACAGTGTTAAACAATTATTTTTGTAAAGAATGTCTGAAATACTCTTTTTGCAGAATCTGAAAAGGAGTATTTCAGAGCCTTTAGAGGCCTACCATGAAAAACAGAATATCCTGTGATACAAATTAGAAACAAACGATCTGGAAAAAGCTTTGAAATGTGTGGATTCAGTTCACAGAGGTGAATGTTTGTTTTTATTCCGCAGGTTGGAAGCACTATTTTTGTAGAATCAAATCTATCTGAATTTGATTTCTATCAAACAGCCACAATGGCAAAAAAAAAAAAAAATACAAAATGCTGCACACCTTTGCATGTCATCCTTGCACTGTGGGTATGCTGGCCTTCTGTATATCATCCCAATTTTAGTGTAGGTGCTGCCGAAGTGGGCACATGCCATGCCCAGCTCAGCTTTTTTATTTTTTCTGTTTTTATGTTTTTTATAGGGAGTGGGTTGCACTGTGTTGTTTAAGGCCAGTCTCGAAACTGTGACCTCACAATCTGCTCGCCTCGGCCTTCTAAAGTGCTGGGATTAGAGGCATGAACCGCTGAGCCCAACCTAAGTTTTGTTTTCACTTTAAAGATGAGGTTTCACCACATTGGTCAGGCTGGTCTCGAACCCACAACCTTGGGTGATATGCCCACCTTGGTATTCAAAGTGCTAGGATGACAGACTCACTTGAGCCACTGTGCCCGGCCAGCTGATTTATTGCTAAAAAAAAAATCAGAGAGACTGGGTCTTTCGCTGTGATGCATGCCAGCAATCCTAGCACTTTGGGAGGCCGAGGCGGGTGGGTCACCTGAAGTCACGAGTTCAAGTTCTGCCTGTGCATCTCAAAGAAAACCAACCTTATTTAAAAAAAAGAAAAGAAAAGAAATCAGACAGATCAGTGTGTACAATTGTAAAAAACGAAGTGCCTGATGACTCCATTCCCCACTCTGCCTTTCTGTATCACGTATTGTTTCCCTCTTCTCACCTAGGCTGGAGTGCAATGGTGTGATCTTAGCTTATTACAACATCTGCCTTCTCGGTTCAAGGGATTGTCCTGCCACAGCCTACCAAGTAGCTGGGGTTGCAGGTGTCCACACCACCACGCCCATCGAACTTTCTCTTATTTTTTTCTACCTCAAATCTATCTGTGTTTGATTTCTACAAAACAGCCACAATGGCAACAAAAGAAAATTCGGGACACAGCACACCTTTGCGTGTCATCCTTGCGCGGTGGCCACTCCGGCCTTCTGTGTATCATCCCAATTTTAGTGTAGGTGCTGCCGAAGTGTGCACATGCCATTCCCAGCTCAGCTTTCTTATTTTTTTTGTTTTTATGTTTTTTATATGGAGCGGGTTGCACTGTGTCGTTCGAGGCCAGTCTCGAACTGTGACCTCACGATCAACTTGCCTCGGCCATTGAAAGTGCTGGGATTACAGGCATCAGCCACCAAGCCCAACCTAAGTTTTGTTTTCGTGCTGAAGACGGGGTTCACCATGTTGGTCGAGCTGGTCTTGAACTCAAAACCACGGGTGATCCACCCACCTTGGTTTTCAAAGCGCTTGGATGACAGGCTCACGTGAGATGCAGTGTCCAGCTGGCTGACTTTATTGCTAAAAAAGGAATCAGAGAGACTGGGCCGGGTGGTTTGACTCACGCCAGCAATCCTAGCTTTTTGGGAGGCCAAGGTGGGCAGGTCACCTGAGGTCAGGAGTTCGAGGTCAGCCTGGACATCCCGGGAAAAACCCACCTCATTTAAAAAAAGAGAAAAAGAAAATGAAGAGAAATCAGACAGATCAGTGTGTACAATTGTAAAAAACGAGGTGCTGGATGACTCCACCCTCGCCCCGCCTTTCTTTATGACATAGCGTTTCCCTCTTATCACCCAGGCTGGAGTGCAACAGTGCGATCTTGACTTATTTGCAACATCTGCTTCCTCAGTTCAAGCGATTTTCCTGCCACAGCCTCCCAAGTAGCTGGGGCTGCAGGTGTCCACACCACCACATCCAGCTAATTTTCTGGTTTTTTTTTTTTTTTTTTTTTTGTACCTCAAATCTATCTGTATTTGATTTCTACAAAACAGCCACAATGGCAAAAAAAAAAAAAAAATTGCAGAACGCAGCACATTTTTGCGTGTCATCCTTGCGTGGCAGACATGCCAGCCTTCTGTGTATCATCCCAATTTTAGTGTAGGTGCTGCCAAAGCCAGCACATGCCATGCCCAGCTCAGTTTTTTTAGTTTTTCTTTTTTTATGTTTTTTATAGGGAGCGAGTTGTGCTTTGTTGTTCGAGGCCAGTCTCGAACCTGTGACCTCACGATCAGCTCACCTTGGCCTTCCAAAGTGCTTGGATTACAGGTTTTGCTTTCATTTAAAAGACGGGGTTTCACCATGTTGGTCGAACTGGTATCAAATCCACAACCTCGGGTGATCTGCCTGCCTTGGTCTTCAAAGCGCTTGGATGACTGGCTCACTGTGCCACCATGCCTGGCTGGACGACTTTATTGCTAAAAAAAAAGAAGTCAGAGGGACTGGGCTGGGCGCTGTGACTTATGCCAGCAATCCTAGCACTTTGGGAGGTCGAGGTGGGCAGGTCACCTGAGGTTACGGGTTCGAGGTCAGCCTGGTCATCACGGGGAAAACCCACCTCATTTAAAAAAAAGAGAAAAAGAAAAAGAAAAGAAATCAGAAAGACCAGTGTGTACAATTTTAGAAAACGAGGTGCTGGATGACTCCATTCCATGACCTGTCTTTCTTTATGACGCAGTGTTTTCCTCTTATCACTCAGGCTGAAGTGCAATGGTGCGATCTTGGCTTATTGCAAAATCTGCTTCCTTGGTTCAAGCGATTGTCATGCCACAGCCTCCAAAATAGCTGGGACTGCAGGTGTCTACACCACCATGTCCAGCTAAGGTTCTGGTTTTTTTTTTTTTTTTTTTTTTTTGGTACCTCACATCTATCTGTATTTGATTTCTGTAAAACCACCACAACAGCAAAAAAAAAAATACGGAATGCTGCACACCTTTTACATGTCATCCTTGCACAGCGGCCATGCTGGCCTTCTCTGTATTATCCCAATTCTAGTATAGGTGCTGCCAAAGCAGGCACATGCCATGCCAGGCTCAGCTTTTCTATTTTTTTCTGTTTTTATGTTTGTTATAAGGAGTGCGTTGCGTCCTCTCATTCAAGGCCAGTCTTGAACCAGTGACCTCACGATTTGCTCACCTTCACCTTCCAATGTGCTGGGATTACAGGCGTTAGCAGCTGAGCCCAACCCAAATTTTGTTTTCGTTTTAAAGACAGTGTTTCACCATGTTGGTCGTGCCGGTCTCGAACCTGCAACCTCGGGTGATCCTCCCACTTTGGTCTTCAAAGTGCTTGGATGACAGTCTCATGTGAGCCACCATGCCTGGACAGCTGACTTTATTGCTAAAAAAGAAATCAGAGAAACTGGGCCAGCACTGTGACTCATGCCAGCAATCCTAGCACTTTGGGAGGCCAAGGTAGGTGGGTCACCTGAGGTCACGAGTTCGAGGTCAACCTAAGTATCCTGGGGAAAACGCACCTCATTTAAAAAAAGAGAAGAAAGGAGAGGACTCAAGATGGCACTGTGAGAACAACCCAGGATTGGAGCTTTCATTGAATCTGCAAAGAGGTGAGTCGGAGCTGCATTTCCAGACTGATCTTTGTTGCCCACAGAATGGGGAAACTCCCAAGCATAAAAAAGACACGGGACGCCAGGCAGTAGGTCTGCCTGGTGAAGCTGGCAGCCGGGGCGGCGGCGGCCGGCCCTACCCGGCAATCCCCACAGGGCGCGCTTGTCCGGGTGCCCTGTTGAACCAGCAACCTGAGATTTGAGAGGGCTGGACTTGAGACTGAACGAGACTTGGAAAGTAGCCCAGCCCAGGGGATTGCAGGGACAGATCGTTTGGGGTACCCAGTGGGAAGAACAAAACCATGATTTCAAACTATCCCGAGCAGATGGTCCAAGACGCTCTGTGGGGGAGGGGCGTCCACCACTGCCGAGGCAACCCACCCCAATTGAGATACACGCCCACTGCTGACGCAGCCAGCCGTTGCCGAGGCAACCCGTCCCTACTGAGATACATGCCCACTGCTGACGCAGCCTTCCATTGCCGAGGCAACCTGTCCCTACTGAGATACACGCCCACTGCTGACGCAGCCTGCCATTGCCGAGGCAACATGCTACAGTGAAGAGACTCTGCCACAGGGCACGGCAGAGACTACAGCAGAGCCTGCAGGAACAGGGCGAATCACACAACAGCAGGGCGGAGCCTTGGCAGCCAAACAGTGGCTAGTCTACCTTCTAACTGGGCAGGACACCTCAACGAACATCAAAAAATAAAGCCCGAACCCCCCAACACAGAGCATTTGAGAAAAAAGGGTTTTTTAATGAGCTCTGTTGCAGCAGAATCAAACATAGCAGCCTAACAGCCCTGAATGAACAACAGAGCTCACAGCTCAGCAATTAAGCTCCAAAAAAGTACAGACTGTCTCCTCAAGCAGCTCCCTGACCCCTCTATATCCAAAAGACTGACATTTGGCAGGCATCATCCTGGGATAAAGATAGCAGAAAAAGAAACGGCTAGCATCCCTCACTGTGCCACAGCTGCTAGAGGTGCACCCCAGACAAGCAGGGCCTGGAGTGGACCTCAGCAGTTGTACAGCGAAGGGGCTAGGCTGGTAGAAGGAAAACCAAGTTAACAAAAATACTTCATCATCAAAAATCTGGGTGTCCACTCAGAGACCCAATCGAAAAGTCAGCAACTATGCAGACAACAAGGGGATAAACCCACAAAGATGGGAAGAAACCAGCAACAAAAGGAGGAAAACACCCGAAACCAGAACAGCTTGCCTCCTAGAAAGGACCAAAACTCCTCACCAGCAAGGGAGCAAAGCTGGACGGAGAATGACTGTGACGAAATGATGGAATTAGACTTCAGAAGGTGGATAATGAGAAACTTTTGTGAGCTAAAAGAACACGTATTAAATCAATGCAAAGAAACTAAGGAACTTGAAAAAAAGATATGAGGAAATGATAACAAGAATGCATAACTTAGAGAGGAATATGAATGAATTAAAGGAGATGAAAAACACAATACAAGAGCTTCGCGAAGCATACACAAGTTTCAATAGCCGAATTGACCAAGCAGAAGAAAGAATATCTGAAGTCAAAGACCAACTCGATGAAATTAAACGAGAAACCAAGATTAGAGAAAAAAGCACAAAAAGGAATGAACAAAGTCTCCAAGAAATGTGGGACTATGTGAAGAGACCTAACCTACGTTTGATAGATGTACCAGAAGGGGATGAAGAGAATGAATCCAAGCTGGAAAATACTCTTCAGGACATCATCCAGGAAAACTTCCCCCACCTAGCAAGACAGGCCAACACTCAAATGCAGGAAATACAGAGAACACCACAAAGATATTCTGCAAGAAGAGCAACCCCAAGGCACATAATCATCAGATTCAACAAGGTTGAAATAAAGGAGAAAATACTAAGGGCAGCCAGAGAGAAAGGTCGAGTTACCCACAAAGGGAAGCCCAACAGACTCACAGCAGATCTCTCGGCAGAAACACTACAAGCCAGAAGAGAGTGGGGGCCAATATTCAACATGCTTAAAGAAAAGAACTTTCAACCCAGAATTTCATATCCAGCCAAACTGAGTTTCAGAAGTGAAGGAAAAATAAAATCCTTTGTGAACAAGCAAGTACTCAGAGATTTTGTCACCACCAGGCCTGCTTTACAAGAGCTCCTAAAAGAGGCACTACACATAGAAAGGAACAACCAGTACCAGCCATTCCAAAATCACACTAAAAGTTAAAGAGCATCAACATAATGAAGAATCTACAACAACTAACAGGCAAAACAGCCATTTAGCATCAAAATGGCAGTATCAAATTCACACATAACAATATTAACCCTAAATGTAAATGGACTAAATGCACCAATCAAAAGACACAGACTGGCAAATTGGATAAAAATCCAAAACCCATCAGTGTGCTGTATCCAGGAAACCCATCTCACATGCAAGGATACACAAAGGCTCAAAATAAAGGGATGGAGGAAGATTTACCAAGCAAATGGAGAGCAAAAAAAAGCAGGAGTTGCAATTCTCATCTCTGATAAAATAGACTTTAAAGCAACAAAGATCAAAAGAGACAAACAAGGCCATTACATAATGGTAAAAGAATCGATAAAACAAGAAGAGCTAACGATCCTAAACATATATGGACCCAATGCAGGAGCACCCAGATACATAAGCCAAGTTCTTAATGACTTACAAAGAGATGTAGACTCCCACACAATAATAGTGGGAGACTTTAACACTCCATTGTCAATATTAGACAGATCAACCAGACAGAAAATCAACAAGGATATCCAGGGCTTGAACTCAGACCTGGAGCAAGCAAACCTGATAGACATTTACAGAACTCTCCACCCCAAATCCACAGGATATACATTCTTCTCAGCACCACATCACACCTACTCAAAAATTGACCACATAATTTGAAGTAAAGCACTGCTCAACAAATGCAAAACAACTGAAATCATAACAAACAGCCTCTCAGACCATAGTGCAATCAAGTTAGAACTCAGAACTCAGAAACCGACCCAGAACCGCACAGCTTCATGGAAACTGAACAATCGGCTTCTGAATGTTGACTGGGTAAACAATGAAATGAAGGCAGAAATAAAGAAGTTCTTTGAAACCAATGAGAATGAAGACACAACATGCCAGAACTTCTGGGACACATTTAAAGCAGTCTCTAGAGGAAAGCATATAGCAATAAGTGCCCATATGAGAAGAATGGAGAGATCCAAAATTCACACCCTATCATCAAAATTGAAAGAGCTAGAGGAGCAAGATCAAAAAACTCAAAACCTAGCAGAAGACAAGAAATAACTAAGATCAGAGCTGAACTGAAGGAGATTGAGACACGAAAAACCCTTCAAAAAATCAACAAATCCAAGAGGTGGTTTTTTGAAAAGATCAACAAAATAGACAGACCACTAACCAGATTGATTAAAAAGAAAAGAGAGAACAACCAAATAGATGCAATAAAAAATGATAAAGGGAAATCACCACAGATTCCACAGAAATTCAAACCATCATCAGAGAATATTACAAACAACTCTATGCACATAAACTAGTAAACCTGGAAGAAATGCATAAATTTCTGGACTCCTGTGTCCTCCCAAACGTAAACCAGGAGGAAGCTGAAACTATGAATAGACCAATAACAAGGTGAGAAGTCAAGGCAGCAATTAAGAGCCTACCACACAAAAAAAGCCCAGGTCCAGACGGGTTTACAACCGAATTCTACCAGACACACAAAGAGGAGCTGGTACCATTCCTTCTAAAACTATTTCAAACAATCTAATAAGAGGGAACACTTCCCAAATCATTTTACGAGACCAACATCATTCTGATACCAAAACCCGGCAGAGACCCAACAAGGAAAGAAAACTTCAGGCCAATATCCATGATGAACATAGATGCAAAAATCTTCAATAAAATATTGGCAAGCCGAATGCAACAGCAAATCAAAAAACTTATTCACCATGATCAAGTAGGATTCATCCTGGGGATGCAAGGCTGGTTCAACATTCGCAAGTCTATAAACGTAATTCACCACATAAACAGAACCAAAAACAAAAACCACATGATTATCTCAATTGATGCAGAGAAGGCATTTGACAAAATTCAACAGCCCTTTATGCTAAAAAACCCTCAATAAACTCGGTATCGTTGGAACGTATTTCAAAGTAATAAAAGCTATTTATGACAAACCAACAGCCAATATCATACTGAATGGGCAAAAACTGGAAGCATTCCCTTTGAAAACTGGCACTAGACAAGGATGTCCTATTTCACCACTCCTATTCAATATAGTTCTGGAAGTTCTAGCCAGAGCAATCAGGCAAGAAAAAGAAATAAAGAGTATTCAAATAGGAAAGGTGGAAGCCAAATTGTCTCTATTTGCAGACGACATGATAGTATACCTAGAAGACCCCATCGCCTCAGCCCAAAAACTCCTGAAACTGATAAGCAACTTCAGCAAAGTCTCAGGATATAAAATCAATGTGCAAAAATCACAAGCATTCCTATACACCAATAACAGACTTAAAGAAAGTCAAATCAAGAACGAACTGCCATTCACAATTGCTACAAAAAGAATAAAATACCTTGGAATACAACTCACAAGGAACGTAAGGGACCTCTTCAAGGAGAACTACAAACCACTGCTCAACGAAATCAGAGAGGACACAAACAGATGAAGAAACATTCCATGTTCATGGTTAGGAAGAATTAATATCGTGAAAATGGCTATACTGCCCAAAGTAACTCATAGAATCAACGCTATCCCCATCAAGCTACCATTGACTTTCTTCACAGAACTGGAGAAAACCACCATGAACTTCATATGGAACCAAAAGAGAGCCCGCATAGCCAAGTCAATTCTAAGCAAAAAGAACACAGTGGGGGGCATCACACTACCGGATTTCAAATTACTACAAGGCTACAGTAATCAAAACAGCATGGTACTGGTACCAAAACAGAGATATAGACCAATGGAACAAAACAGAGGCACCGGAGGCAACACAACATATCTAAACTATACAATCTTTGATAAACCTGACAAAAACAAGCAAGGGGGAAAGGATTCCCTGTTTAACAAATGGTGTTGGGAAAACTGGCTAGCCATGTGCAGAAAGCAGAAACTGGACCCCTTCCTGACACCTTACACTAAAATTAACTCCAGATGGATTAAAGACTTAAACATAAGACCTGGCACCATAAAAACCCTAGAAGGAAATCTAGGCAAAACTATCCAGGACATAGGAGTAGGCAAGGACTTTATGATCAAAACACCAAAAGCATTGGCAACAAAAGCCAAAATAGACAAATGGGACCTAATGAAACTCCACAGCTTCTGCACAGCAAAAGAAACAGTCACTAGAGTGGATCGGCAACCAACAGAATGGGAAAAAATTGTTGCAGTTTACCCAGCTGACAAAGGGCTGATATCCAGAATTTACAAAGAACTCAAACGGATTTACAGGAAAAAAACAAGCCCATTCAAAAGTGGGCAAAGGATATGAACAGACACTTTACGAAAGTAGACATATATGAGGCCAACAATCATATGAAAAAATGCTCATCGTCACTGGTCATCAGAGAGATGCAAATCAAAACCACATTGAGATACCATCTCACGCCAGTTAGAATGGCGATCATTACCAAATCTGGAGACAACAGATGCTGGAGAGGATGTGGAGAAAAAGGAACACTTTTACACTGTTGGTGGGAGTGTAAATTAGTTCAACCAGTGTGGAAGACAGTGTGGCAATTCCTCAAGGCCTTAGAAATAGAAATTCCATTTGACCCAGCAATCCCATTACTGGGTATATATCCAAAAGACTATAAATCCTTCTACTATAAGGACACATGTACACGAATGTTCATTGCAGCACTGTTTACAATAGCAAAGACCTGGAATCAACTCAAATGCCCATTGATAATAGACTGGATTGGAAAAATGTGGCACATATACACCATGGAATATTATGCAGCAATCAGAAATGATGAGTTTGTGTCGTTTGTAGGGACATGGATGAATCTGGAGAACATCATTCTCAGCAAACTGACACAAGAACAGAAAATGAAACACCGCATATTCTCACTCATAAGCGGGTGATGAAAAATGAGAACACATGGACACAGAAAGGGGAGTACTAAACACTGGGGTCTATTGGGGGGAAAAGGAGAGGGCCAGTGCGAGGGGGGGGTGGGGAGGGATAGCCTGGGGGGAAATGCCAAATGTGGGTGAAGGGGAGAAGGAAAGAAAAGTACACTACCATGTGTGTTCCTACGCAACTGTCTTACATGCTCTGCTCATGTACCCCAAAACCTAAAATCCAATAAAAATTTAAAAAAAGAAAAAAGAAAAAAATGAAATCAGAAAGATCAGTGTGTACAATTGTAAAAAACGAGGTGCTGCATGACTCCACCCCTTGCCCTGCCTTTCTTTACCACATAGTGTTTCCCTCTTGTCACCCAGGCTGGAGTGCAACTGTACAATCTTTGCTTATTGCAACATCTGCCTCTCAGTCCAAGCGATTTTCCTTCTGCAGCCTCCCAAGGAGCTGGGGTTTCAGGTGTCCACACCACGCCATCCAGCTTTCTTTTTTTTCTGTACCTCAAATCTGTCTGTATTTGACTTCTACACAACTGCCACAAAGGCAAAAAATATACGGAGTGCTGCACACCTTTACGTGTTATCTTTGCATGGTGGCCACCCCACCCTTATGTATTTTCTCACAATTTTAGTGTAAATGCTGCCAAAGTGGGCAGATGCCATGCCCGGCTCAGCTTTTCTATTTTTTTCTGCTTTTATGTTTTTTATACGAAGCAGGTTGCACTGTGCCATTCAAGGCCAGTCTCGAAACTGTGACCTCACGATCTGCTCTCATCCGCCTTCAAATGTGTTGGGATTACAGGCATTAGCCGCTGAGCCCACTGTAACTTTTGTTTTCATTTTAAAGATGGGGTTTTACCATGTTGGTCGGGCCGGCCTTGAACACACAACCTCGGGTGATCCACCCGCCTTTGTCTTCAAAGTGCTTCGATGACAGACTCACGTGAGCCACCGAGCCTGTCTGGTCGATTTTATTGTTAAAAAAACAATCAGAGTGACTGGGTCGGGCAATGTGACTCATGCCAGCAATCCTAGCCCTTTGGGAGGCCGAGGTGGGCAGGTCACCTGAGGTCACAGGTTCCAGGTCAGCCTGGGCATCCCAGGGAAAACCCACCTTATTTAATAAAAAACTGAAAAAGAAAAAAAAAGACATCCAAAAGATCAGTGTGTACAACTGTAAAAAACGAGGTGCCAGATGACTCCACCCAAAGCCCTGCCTTTCTTTATGACGTAGTTTTACCCTCTTGTCAAACAGGCTGAAGTGCAATGGTGCAATCTGGGCTTATTGCAACATCTGTCCCCTTGGTTCAAGCGATTGTTTTTCTGCATCCTCCCAAGTAGCTGGGGTTGCAGATGTCCACACAACAACGTCCAGCTAACTTTTCATTTTTTTCTTTTGTACCTCAAATCTGTCTGTGTTTGATTACTACAAAACCACCACAATGGCAAAAAAATACAGGACACTGCCCACCTTTGTGTGTCATCCTTGCATGGCAGCCAAGCCAGCCTTCTGTGTATTGTTTCAATTTTAGTGTAGGTACTGCCGAAGCACGCACATGCCATGCCTGGCTCAGCATTTTTATTTTTTTCTGTTTCTTTTACAGGAAGCAGGTTTTGCTTTGTCGTTCAAGCCCTGTATCGAACATGTGACCTCACGATCCACTCACCTCGGCCTTCCAAATTGCTTGGATTACAGGCGTGATTGACTGAGCCCAACCTAAGTTTTGCTTTCATTTTAAAGACAAGGTTTCACCATGTTGGTCGGGCCAGTCTCAAACCCACAATCATGGGTGACCCACCTGCCTTGGACTTCAAAGCGCTTGGATGAGAAACTCACGTGAGCCACCGAGCCCAGCAGGCCGACTTTATTGTTAAAAAATTAATCAGAGAGACTGGGTCCAGTGTGACTCACACCAACAATCTCCAGAGGTCACAAGTTCGAGGTCAGCCTGGGAATCCTGGGGAAAACTCACCTCATTTTGGAAAAAGGAAAAAGTACACAGGAGGCGGCTCCAGAAGATGGTGCAGTAGGAGCAACTCAGGATTGCAGCTCTCAGTGAATGCACAGAGGCCTGCCATTGCCAAAGCAAACCTCCATTACAGAGAGGTTTTGCCAATACAGAGGCAGGCCACCATAATCACACCCATATAAACAGGACTACAAAGAATTACACCCGGAAGCAAAGCAGATCCCACAACAACAGGGAGGAGCCTATGACAGTAGGGGAGAGCCCACAGCAAAAAGGCAGAGCTCACAACAGCAGGGCGGAGCCCACAGCAGCAGGGAGGAGCCAACAGCAGCAGGGCAAAGCCCACAGAAACAAGGCGGACACCACGGCAGCAGGGCAGAGCCTCAGCAGGCAAATAGTGACTAGACTGCCTCCTAGCTGGGCAGGACAGTGCAACAGACACTTATAAAGAAAGCCCTAACTCCCCAAGACAGAGCATCTGAGAAAAAAAGGTTTGATGAGTTCTGCTGCAGCAGACCTAAACGTACCTGCCTGACATTCAGTGGGCATTATTCTGTAAAAAAGATAGCAGAAGAAAGAACTGGTAGCATCCCTCACAGTTCCACAGCTGCTACAAGTGTACCCCAGAGAGCAGTGCCTGGAGTGGACCTCAGCAGTCATACAGCAGAGGGGCTAGACTGTTAGAAGGAAAACTAAGTAACAGAAATACTCCATCATCAACAATCTGGGCGTCCACTCAGAGACCCAATCGAAAAGCCAGCAACTACTCAGATGACAGGTGGATAAACCCACAAAGATGGGAAGAAATTATCGCAAAAAGGAGGAAAACACCCCAAACCAAAACACCTCGCCTCCTACAAAAAACTAAAACTCCTCACCAGCAAGGGAACAAAGCTGGACGGAGAATGAGTGTGATGAAATAACGGAATCAGACTTCAGAAGGTGGGTAATGAGAAACTTCTGTGAGCTAAAGAAACATGTTCTAAATCAATGAAAAGAAACTAAGAACCTTGAAAAATAATTGAAAAAAGATTCAAGGAAATGATAACAAGAATAAATAACTTAGGGAGGAATATGAATGAATTGAAGGAGTTGAAAAACAACACGAGAACTTCACAAAGCATGCACAAGTTTCAACAGCTGAATTGACAAAGCAGAAAAAAGAATATCAGAAGTCAAAGATCAACTCAATGAAATAAAACAAGAAACCAAGGTTAGAGAGAAAAGCACAAAAAGGAATAAATGAAGACTCCAAGAAATGTGGGACTATGTGAGGAGACCTAACCTACGCTTGATACGTGTACCAGAATGTGATGAAAAGAATGAATACAAGCTGGAAAACACTCTTCAGGATATTACCCAGGAAAATTTCCCCAAACTAGCAAGGCAGGCCAATATTCAAGTCCAGGAAATACAGAGAACACCACAAAGATATTTCACAAGAAGAGCAACACCAAGGCACATAATCGTCAGATTCACCAGGGTGGAAATGAAGTAGAAAATGCTAAGAGCAGCCAGAGAGAGAGGTCAGGTCACCCACAGAGGGAAGCCAAACAGACTCACAGCAGATCTCTCAGCAGAAACTCTACAAGCAAGAAGAGAGTGGGGGCCAATATTCAACATCTTTACAAAAAAGAACCTTCAACTCAGAATTTCATATACAGCCAAACGGAGCTTCATAAGTGAAAAAAATAAAATCCTTTTCAAACAAGCAAGTACTCAGAGATTTTGTCACCACATGGCCTGCTTTACAAAAGCTCCTAAAAGAGGCACTACACATAGAAAGAAAAAACCAGTACCAGCCATTCCAAAAACATACCAAATGCTAAAGAGCATCAACAAAATGCAGAATCTGCATCAATTAATGGGCAAAATAGCCAGCTAGCATCAAAATGGCTGTATCAAATTCACACATAACAATATTAACCCTAAATATAAATGAGCTAAGTGCACCAATCAAAAGACACAGACTGGCAAATTGGATAAAAAGCCAAAACCCATCGGTGTGCTGTATCAAGGAAATCCATTTTACATGCAAGGATACACAAAGGCTCAAAATAAAGGGATGGAGGAAGATTTACCAAGCAAATGGAGAGCAAAAAGAAGCAGGAGTTGCAATTCCCGTCTCTGATAAAATAGACTTTAAAGCAACAAAGATCAAAAGAGACAAGGCCATTACATAATGGTAAAAGAATTGATATAACAAGAAAAGCTAATGATCCTAAATATATATGGACTCAATACAGGAGCACCGTGATATATAAGGCAAGTTCTTAATGACTTACAAAAAGACTTAGACTCTCACATGATGATAGTGGGAGACTTTAACACTCCATTTTCAATATTAGACAGATCAACCAGACAGAAAATCAACAAGGATATTCGGGGCTTGAACTCAGACCTGGAACAAGCAAACCTGATAGACATTTACAGAACTCTCCACCCCAAATCCACAGAATATACATTCTTCTCAGCACCACATCACAGCTACTCCAAAATTGACCACATAATTGGAAGTAAAGCACTCCTCAGCAAATGCAAAACAACTGACATAATACCAAACAGTCTCTCAGACCGTAGTGAAATCAAGTTAGAACTCAGAATTCAGAAACTAACTCAGAACTGCACAGCTTCATGGAAACTGAACAACTGGCTTTTGAATGTTGACTGGATGAAGAATGAAATAAAAGCAGAAATAACGAAGTTCTTCAAAACAAGCGAGAATGAAGACACAACATACCAGAATCTCTGAGACAAATTTAAAGCAGTCTCTAGAGAAAAATATATAGCAATAAGTGCCCACATGAGAAGAGTGGAGAGATCCAAAATTGACACCCTATCATCAAAATTGAAAGAGCTAGAGGAGCAAAATCAAAAAAACTCAAAACCTAGCAGAAGACAAGAAATAACTAAGATCAGAGCAGAACTGAAGAAGAAAGAGACACGAGAAACCCTTCAAAAAATCAATAAATCCAAGAGCTTGTTATTTGAAAACATCAACAAAATAGACAGACCACTAGCCAGACTGATAAAAAAGAAAACAGAGAACAATCAAATAGATGAAATAAAAACCAATAAAAAAGAAATCACCACAGATTCCACAGTAATTCAAACCATCATCAGAGAATACGATAACTCTATGCAAACTACTAAACCTGGAAGAAATGCATAAATTCCTGGACTCCTGCATACTCCCAAGCCTAACCGAGGAGAAAGTCAAAACTATGAAAATACCAATAACAAGGTCTGAAGTCAAGGAAGCAATTAAAAGCCTACCACACACAAAAAACCAAGGTCCAGATGGGTTCACAGACGAATTCTACCAGACACACAAAAAGAAGCTGGTACCAATTTTACAAAAAATATTCCAAATAATCCAATAAGGGAATCCTTCCCAAATCATTTAATGAGACCAACATCATCCTGATACCAAAACCCGGCAGAGACCCAACAAGGAAAGAAAACTTCAGGCCAATATCCATGACGAACTTAGATGCAAAAATCTTCAATAAAATATTGGCAAGCTGATTGCAACAGTGCATCAAAAAACTTATCCATGATGATCAAGTAGAATTCATCCTGGGGATGCAAGGCTGGTTCAACATACGCAAGTCTATAAATGTAATTCAACACATGAACAGAACCAAAAACAAACACCACATGATTATCTCAATTGATATAGAGAAGGCATTTGACAAAAATTCAACAGCCCTTTATGCTAAAAACCCTCAATAAACTCGGTATTGATGGAACGTATCTCAAAGTAATAAAAGCTATTTATGACAAACCAACAGCCAGTATCATACTGAATGGGCAAAAACTGGAAGCATTCCCTTTGAAATCTTGCACTAGACAAGGATGACCTCTCTCATCACTCCTATTCAATATAGTACTGGAAGTTCTAGCCAAAGCAATCAGGCAAGAAAAAGAAAAAAAGGCTATTCAAAAAGGAAAGGTGGAAGCCGAATTGTCTCTATTAGCAGACGTGATAGTATACCTAGAAGACCCCATCACCTCAGCCCAAAAACTCCTGAAACTGATAAGCAACTTCAGCAAAGTCTCAGGATATAAAATCAATGTGCAAAAATCACAAGCATTTCTACACACCAATAACACACTTAAAGAGAGCCAAATCAAGAACGAACTGCCATTCACAACTGCTACAAAATCAATAAAATACCAACAGATACAACTTACAAGGAACATAAGGGACCTCTTCAAGGAGAACTACAAACCACTGCTCAACGAAATCAGAGAGGACACAAACAGATGGAGAAACATTCCATGTTCATAGTTAGGAAGAATCAATATCGTGAAAATGGCTATACTGCCCAAAGTAATTTACAGAATCAATGCTATCCCCATCAAGCTACCATTGACTTTCTTCATAGAACTGGAAAAAACCACCATGAACTTCATATGGAACCAAAAGAGAGCCTGCATAGCCAAGTCAATTCTAAGCAAAAAGAACACAGCAGGAGGCATCACACTATCAGACTTCAAACTATAATACAGGGCTACAGTGATCAAAACAGCATGGTACTGGTACCAAAACAGAAATGTAGACCAATGGAACAAACAG